CATATGCATGGCTGGGGATCCAACGTATGTTCGGAACTATGAAATATAGATTAATATATTCAATATTTGTCTCTTTACGCTTAGCAATTGTAATGGTTATACTGTTTGGATCTCAGCTGTTTAATGTTATGACCCAAGTAGTAAGTCATAGGGGTGGGGCCAGACCCTTGTACAAATCTTATAGTAGCACGACTGTTAAGCAGACATTTTTCCATTGTGGAAATTCAATGCTCATGTTTTATGCAAAGAGCAAGTAAGCTTGAAAATTTCCACATACAAATTTATACTTTTATATTAAAGACATATGTTTATAGAATATAGCTTTCAGAACCATTCTCAATTTAAAAAGTCACAACATGAATATTTCCACAAACAAGAATTGAAACATTTAGCGTTTATTGCATACAAGTTAAAGACTGGGGATCTCATCTGCATCAATGTTATGCCCCTAGAAGTAAACCCTAAGGGTGAGGCTGGACCCCAAGGCCTTTAAGGAGGTGCACCATCTTCATTTATACATGTGATCAGCTTGCGTTAGTGATGTTTCAAACCAGATATGGTTACAATTTGTGCAGTTGTTTAGGAGTAGGATTTCTGAAGCAAAATTGCCTTAGATTAATTTACATAGGCCCTACCCTTCTGACCCTTTGGGATGCACAAACTTGAATGCATATGATCTCATTGACTCTGTAATATTTCAGACCAAATATGGTAATAATCTGTGTAACAATGTGTGTAGTCCTTCAGGAAAAGGGAGTCATTTAACTCATTCACCCCTGAAGACGCATTTGAACTCTTCCAATTCAAAGGTTGGAGTAGTTCATTATGAAATTTCAGGGGTGAATGAGTTAAAGGCTGAAATTCACCAATTTACCTATTTTTGGCCCTGCCCATTTCAATATACAAAATTATATTCTCTAGCCCTGTCATAGTTCAAAGGATATGCAACATAGCAAACTTGGCTGAAATCTTGACATCTGTCATTCAGGAGTAGGGTTTTAAAGGGAACATTTGAGAGATGACTGACCCTGGATGTATGCTGTACCGTGGCATAAACCTTGAAGTCCTTGGGACCAGCTGGGATAAAAAATCTTTTTGAGATTTCATCATCACATAGAAGTATACACGACAGATTAAATTCGTCCAGTTTAGCTTTGATCTATATAGGATTGGATATGTTATTCAACCTCAAAAGCTTTGGAAATGTAATACACTATATCCATAGAGTACTTAAGGTTCTTTTTTAATCATATTTCCTGGATGTGGTGAACCATTGTCTGCACTGATTCAAAAGTTTTGTGATGAAGCTGGTAGTGCCATTTCATTAACAATCTTTTTTTTTTAATTTCATGAGAAAAGAGAAATCACAACTAGTACCCGGTTATTATTTGTTAGGTCTGAATACTTTATTGGTGGATAAAATTGTGTACAGTACATATAGATACAATGTAACATCACATCTATCACAGCTAAGCAATAGTATCACCTGGAAACATATATCTAAAAATTATGTGGCTAATGACAACTTCCTGACTAGATTAATTCTATTCATCTTTAATTATCAATTTAGTTTCAATTATTGATATGGAATTATTTTGTGATGACATACATGTACTTCAAACTAAAATTTCATTTTATTTTTATTTTCCTATTTTACTTATTTTATATAATAATGTTAAAAGCAAAGTTGCCTTCAAACACAAATATTTTAAATATTGGCGGGAATTACATAATCATGTATTCTTTTTACAAAATCTATATTCTTATATCAATTTTTAAGTATATTTGTCTATAAAATATTTCACATTTTCACAAGGGATATTAACCCTTTCAACCCTAGTTAACTTTAATGGACTCTACCATGCATTTATTGGGTCCATTATGGTCTACGGTGGTGAAAGGGCTAATATACAGTAGCTATACATACTGTATACAGTGTAATTTTTACAACACGTCAGTTTTCCCAATATGATTATGTCACAAAATTAACAAATCATCAGATATTTAGTTAAGTATTTCAGATTCCCAGCAATCTCAAAATTGCATGAAATCAATTAATCTGTATGCAGTATTCTTGATAATTTCATAAATGGAAATCCTCACGAGTTGGTCATTAGATTGAAAATTATAAGTTTCACTGAAAATATGGAAAGTATTTTACAAATATAAAAAATACAACTACATGAGTTAAAATTCTTGGAGACATTTTATCCAATAACATGTTAAAATATATACAGCATACACACAATTTTGGTCCATAGACCTTTAAAACAACCTTGGGACTAAGTACTGATATTGATTGACAGCGGTGGGTGATATATATATATGAGTATTCTTTTTATGAGACAATCGTACAATTATTTTGTCCAAAATATGATCATTTAAGGTCATAAGTGGCATGGTCTGATGAGAGAATTAACAAAATCGAACAAATACTCATGACTTTAATACAATTTTGACCTGGTATCTTCACAGGAAGGAAAAGTTCACACACAGTGTGGATAATCCTTCAACATATCCTTACAAACTTCCATTCCTGAATTTAAGTTTCTAATGTATGGACTGTCATTGAAAAACAAAAACAAAAACACAACATATTGCACATTTTATAAAGACTGTTCTATTGAATTTTAAGTACATGTTTGTTCTGATAATAAAGTGGAAATAAAATTGATAGTAAAATCACAAAATTTGCATGTTTATGATATATACATTTGTACCTACATTATATTTATACAAGAGAGCAGCATCTCGGTTTATAACTTAAATCTGGAATATTTAGATATCAATATCTGTAGATAAACACAAATTCACTGATCATGCTCCATACTGCCCTTCCAATAGATAAATAAATCCTTGATGACCTCTTTGCCTTCTTTATGATGCATGCTTTCTTTACACATTATACTGTGGATTTGCGTTTGAGTTATCTTGATTAGAATACAAGAGGCCCAGAGGGCCTGTATCACTCACCTGAATTTTAAAATAATAGGTATGAAGTAAAGATATAGCACTCCATGGTAGGTGCTGTAAGAACATATGAAATTTCAGAAAGATCCATCCAGTACTCGAGAACAATTAGCAAGAACAAACTGAGCCCCACCCCTATGCCCTAAGGGGGTCATACCCACCAATTATACAAAATTGAGTCCCCTTGACCCAAGGATGCTCCAGACTAAATTAGGATACATTCCCTTAAGGTGGCTCCACACTTTCGTAATTAACCAGCGAAATTCGTTGAAACTTTCATATAATGGTTATGCAACAATGTAGAGTTGATTTTATGAAAATCTTAACACTCCGATAGTTAGGGGACTTTTTTGGAAAAAATACCAAAAAATTGAATTTTCGTCAATTTTAATATTTTCCGGGTTTTTTTGGGGTGTGACATTGTTCGGAACAATAACAACAATAATAAAATGAAAAGAAGCATTTCTTATTAACCCTACAAATATTTTATTTATCGCAAAATATGTAACACATGTTACACAAAGTGTTTTTTATTGAATTTGAACGGATAAAAGTGATTATCTACAAGCTAAAAGCCAACAGGACACAAAGATCTATACATATAGAATGGGAAATTGAACAAAATATACACAATGGCTTTATAATTAATTTATTTTACATTTTACAATCACTTCGATCCGGGTAAGAGTTATCTTCCTTGAAAAAAATCGGAACTTTTTGCAGAGGGGTGACATTTACACAATGACAGTTGTCCCTGTTTACATATAACAAAAATGATGGAAATAAATCAAAAATATGATATCAAAATTATCA